ATGTAGAAAAAAAGACAACCACGACAAACATTAGAAGAAATAATGCATCTGCTCAGGAGGCACAGTCATGATAAATCATCAAAAGTAATTGCGAACATCTTGTCAAAAGATCGTAAATGCTGAGTGTGGAAGAGACTCCCCTCTAAATTTCTGGTGAGTCAAAGGACACCAGTAGGTGATTTGGATTAACAATCTGCACAATATGCAAAATGTCACCTCTTCTTTACACTGATAAAACCTTTAGTTCTCTCAGGACCATGACTTCAAATGAATTCAGGGATTTACATATACATATTAATCAGTTAAAACCTTCTAACTGATTAAAGATTTAACAGCATCTTAGGTTTGTTTAGTACATCCTTATCAATGGTGTGAATCTTTAATCTTTTACTTATAAATTCTGTGTCTGATACTACCTCTCTCAATAATATCTGAAGAAGGATTGAGGCTCCGAAAACTTGGGTTTTCAAATAAACCTGTTGGACTATAACCTGGTGTCGTGTGAATTCTGAACATGCAAAGAGGAGCAGAGAAAGCGATCTTCCTATAACAGGAGAAGTGAAGTTATGGAAATATGTCTGTCAGAAGTTAAAAACCAGCAGGTCTTGGTTAATGGCAGCAGCAGCTCAGAGAATCCGTTATAACAATTAGAATGGCAACTGAAAGAATGAAAAGAATTGCTCAGCATAGGGATGAGCAAAGATCCAAGAAAAGAACTATAACAAGTATTGGAGTGTCTTATATAAAGTTGAAAATGAGGCCTTATGGATATCCAAAGATGAAAAAGTTGTGAAATATGGTTCTGAAGAAGGATGAAGTCTGTCACCTTGAGAAGACGCAAGAACAGTGAAGACGTTTTCAGCACGGTATAGGAGGAAATGTCATTAGTGAATATCAAAAAGAAAAGACAACCTGCTGAAAAATTTGACTGAGGGAAGATTAGAGAGATTGAAAACAAGGGAAGAAAGAAAATGGAAGGCCTGTAATTAGCAAGAGGAACGTGTAAGGCTATGGGATGTGGGGAAATGGGCAGAGGTCTTAGGCAGATTGCTACTACAGGCCTTGGAAGTGGCAAGAAAATAGGAACATTTCCGGAGAGTAAGAAGAATTCTCAGCCAGAAGTGCTGAGGGTGCAATCCACTTGGCCAACTTCTGAGGCCCCAATTCAATTCACTCCATTTAAAATCAGGAGACAGCCAAAGGTGCTGAGTACTACAAAGGCCCTGGCAACGTTTCAGCAGCAGTGTTCCAGACTAGCCAAGCACCTAGCGTAGCTGTTCCAGGACAGGAACAAAACTGATATCCACCTAGCAATGCGAAAAATGGTCCACATATGTTTGGTACACAAAAAGCAGGACAAATCCCACCCAAACGATTATTGAAATCCATCAGTATACTCTCAACCATCAAAGCGAAGGAAGGTGCTATCAAATGACACTTGCTCAACAATAACCTGCTCACTGATGCTCATTTCAGGTTTTGCCTGGCCCATTTAACTACTGAGCTTGTTACAGCCTTGATCCAAGCATGAACAAACGAGCAGAACACAAGATGGGAAGTGAGGGTGACTGTCCTTCACATCAAGTCAGCAATTGATCAAGTGTGGCATCATCCTCCATAATAGAGTCATACAACACAAAAACAGACCCTTCAGCCCAACCAGTCCAAGCTGAACATAATCCCAAACTAAACTAGTCCCACCTGACTGCTCCTGGCAGATATTGCTCCAAACCTTTTCTATTCATGTATCTATCAAAATGTCTTTTAAACGTTATAATTGTACCTGCATCCACCACTTCCTCAGGAAGTTCATTCCACAGGCGAACCACCCTCTGCGTAAAAAAATTGTCTCATGTCTTTTTTAAATTTCTCACCTGTCACCTTAAAAATGTGTCCCCTAGTCCTGAAATCCCCCATCCTTGGGAAAAGAGAACTACCATTAACTCTATCTATGTCCCTCCTTATTTTATAAACTTCAATAAGGTCGCCTTTCAACCTCCTACACTCCAGTGAAAAAAGTCCCCAACTATCCAGCCTTTCTTTATAACTCAAACCTTCTCTGTTCTAAGGAGTTCTGGCAAAATTGGAGTCAACAAGAACTGAGGGAAAACTTTCCATTCATTATGTTGTAAATGACTCCAAAGGAAAATGATTCCAGCAATTGCAGCTCAATCATGTCAAGCACAGCCCATCACTGTAGGACTTCGTCAGGGTTATGTCCAAGGCAATTGCATCTTCAGATCCACTATCAGTGATTTACCTGCTTCACAAGGTCAGAGATAGGGATGATGACTATAGAATGATCAGCACTATTCACAACTTCATGGATACAGAAGCAGTCTGCATCCATCAGCAGCAAGATCTGAACAACTAAGGTTTTAGAGTAGATTTGTGGCTTGGGTTGGGGATGTTGTGGTTGGTTGGCTCGCCAAGCTGGTTCATTGTTCTGCAGACGTTTCATTACACTGTTCGGTAACATCATCAGTGCAGCCTCTGATGAAGCGCTGTTGTTTTCCCACCTGTCATTTAAATTCTCGTGTCCGTTGAGCTGGATTACCTTACTTCCAGTTTTCCTTCGCAATGGATGTATCAATAGACATACCACTAGCAAGACAAACACGGACAACACTACTAAAACAAGAGCAAGACCCTAGTGACACCATCTCCACAGACAACATGCTGAAGCTACTGGACCTGTGCTGCACCGCCCACTTCAACTTTAACGGCCAAATATATGAACAGATCAACCGGACACCCATGGGATCACATATCTCTGATAGCTGAAGCAGTAATGCAGAGACTTGAAAATATGGCCTTCCACTAATCCAACCAAAACTATGGATATGCTACGCAGACAAAACCTTTGCCATCATTAAATGGACCAAACTAGAGGAGACACATGAACTAATAAACAACACCCTCACGAGGATCAGATTCACCAGAGAAGAGGAGAACAAACAGCTCCCATTCCCGGACGTCATGGTGGAATGCAGGACCAATGGGGAATTCCTAACAAATGTACACAGGAAAGCCACACACACTGACCAAGTACTGAAATTCAACAGCTACCACCCTAACACACACAAACGAAGTTGCGTGAGAACATTATTTAAAAGGGCAACTACACACTACAGCAGCACAGAACTCTGCCAAAAATAAGAAGAATACCTCTTCCAAGTATTCAAAGACAATGGATACCCGAAAAACTGGGTCAGAAGATGCTTATTACATGAATGACACCAGGAAGATACTACACGCCCTGACACACTCATCACGCTACCTTACATCAGGAACACATCTGAACTGGCCACAAGACTCCTACGGCCACTGGACATCAGAGTAGCACACAAACCCACATCCACCCAACCGCTCACACGAACCAAAGACGCACTACCCACTATGGACAGGACCAATGACATATACAAGATTCCCTGCAGAGACTGCGACAAACATTACATTGGACAAACAGGAAGGAAATTAAACACAAGGGTACACAAACATCAACTAGCAACAAAAACACACAACCAATACTCACTCATCTCCATCCACATGGATAAGGAAAACCAGCAGTTCGACTGGGGCGACACCAGGATCCTGGGACAGGCGAAGCAGAGAAAAGCATGGGAATGCCTAGAAGCCATCAACAAGCACATAGAACTAGACCACAAATACACTCCATTGCAAAGGAAAACCGGAAGTGAGGTAATCCAGCTCAACAGACACCAGAGTTTAAATAACAGGAGGGAAAACACAACAGTGCTTCATCAGAGACTGCACTGATGATGTTACCCAGCAGGGTAATGAAACGTCTGCGGAACAACAAATCGGCTCAGCGAGCCAACCAACCACAGATCTGGACAACATCCAGGCTTGGTCTGAGAAGCAGCGAGTAACATTCATGTCACATGTGTGCCAGCCAATAACCACCCCCAACAAAAAAACTCCAACTATCGCCTTCTGACATGCTTTGGTATTACTACCTCTGAATTTCCCACTGTCAACATCCTGTGGATTACTATTGACTGGAAGTTCAAGTATCCATTTTTATAAATACTGTGGCACAGGGGCAGGTTAGATGCTGAGAATTTTGGCTTTGATTTCTCAAAGCTTGCTCAGCTTCTACAAGGTACATGTTTGGAGTGTGATGGAATATTCTGCACTTGCCCAGATTAGCAGATCTGGCAGCATCTTCACCTAGACCACCAGTTGTAAAGGAGTGTCATATGCGGGAGCTGAAACGTCAATTCTGTTACTCGGTCCACAGAGGTTGTCAGACCTGTTGAGTTTCTCCAGCACTTTCTGCCCTTGTTACTACAACTGCCTCGCCCGGTTCAGCCTCCAGCTCCCCAGGCTCAATGTTAGCTCTGCCGCAGCTCAGTGTCAGCCCTGACCCCTGCTCAACACCAGCCTGCACACCTTTGTGCCAGCTCCCAGGTCAGCTCCACCCAGTCCCCAGTCAATACTAGTCAAGCCCCAGCTCATTAGCAACCAAGCCCCAGCTGAGTACCAGCCAAGCACCTGGTCAATACCAGCCAAGTCCCCGGTCAATACCAGCTGAATACCCGCCAAGCTCCAGCTCAATGCCAATCCCTGCCCCCAGATGAATTTCAGTCGCCTCCTCAGTTCCCGCTAAGCCCCGCCTCCAGCCGCTCATCACCAACCGCCAGGCATGGTCTCGCGGGGAGGGCGGGAATGTTTTAGAACAGCCGAGGCCGCTGGCGGTCCGGGGTTTGAAATTGGACGGCGGGGCGGGGCTGACGAGCACAGCGCCGTCCTATTGGTTTGAGCGTGCCAGCTCCCTGATTGGTAGGGGATGTGCGGAGTCCGGCAGGGTGATTGGCTGGAGGTGATGGTTTGAATTCCGCAGCGAGCGGGGTGGTTGCGCTAACGGTCACCGTTGAGATTGGTGATGGGAGAACGGCGGTGAGCGTCGGCCTGGGGCTGGGAGGGTAAAAACACAAACACTTCACTGCGGGGAGCGGCGCTTCGGAAAGATCACGATGGAGGTGAGCTCGGCCCGGCGGCCGCACCGCGGGATCCCGGCCTTGTCCGGTGGAGGCGAGGATGCCCCGGTCCTCATCCTCACTCACTTCGCCCGGACTCCGTACGTCTGCTTCAACAGCGTGAGGATCGGCAGCTCCAAGACGGAGACCTTGGCAATCGAGAATCCCGAGACCGTCCCGGTTTGGGTGACGATCGACAAGTTTCCCAGCTCCAAGGGGTTTACAGTCAGCGAACGGGAATTCATGGTTGAGGTATGGGGCCAGTTTTTAAACTGGAGTCTGTGTTCCCAATAAGACCACAGCTTCCCACCAATCACCGCCCCCTCCCCCCGCAAACTCCTCATCCTCCCCAGATCATCATCGAGTTCGTGCATTGATAAATATATTCGATATGTAATCGCATTTCAATATGCAATAATTCGGGGAACACCCCCGCCCCCTCCAATAATTTGGCCAGTGCCTGAGTGTAAACTCACTTAAACAAGATGACCAAGATCACTTTTATCTGGGTGTGTGGCGGATCATGAACAACGAACTGTAAAAGTTAGCTCAAAAACCCGAGTACAGTAGCATTTGTCATATTACCGTCGCATCTTGGTTAAAGGTAACAGTGTGGAGCTGGAGGAGCACGGCAGGCCAGGCAGCATCCAGCTCCACACTACAGCATCGGCAGCTCTTACTATCTCTGAGTTAATTTCATCAATTTCATCCTTAGCTTTGGCGTGCGTGTCTCTGGCCTCAGTTGGATTTTTTTTAACTTTGTAGCTTCTAGTAGTTTGGAACTTTTTTTTAATGTGTAGCTTTAAAACTATTTGACATTGGATTCTTTGATTTAAGATTGATATTTTTGGAAAACAGTGGCTGTCCGATGAGATCATTTTGTGCCTGTGCTTTTGATGCTGTCAATTTCCAGAACCGAAGTTGCAGTTATTGACATCTCCCACTAAAACATGAAAGTTTTGAAGCCAGCGTTCTGCTTTAAAAAATGTCAAACATTCATAACGATAAACCAGATCAGCCGTCGTCCAATATTACTAATTCTACTATCTTTATCCGGAATAAGTAACGGCCATATAAAGGTGACATAATGAAGCATTTCATATTTCAGCCTTTTCTCGGGAGTATACGTTGGTAAATGATTGCTTTCCCTCCGTTGTCATTTGTTTAATAGCAAATGTTTCTTTTTCCCAGTAGTAATGTAGCCTTATCTGTAATTCTTGTTGCTATTTTTAAAAAAAAACTGCGCTTATAAAATGGGTGTGATGACCTCATTTTTTGACACAAAAACAGAAGTCGCTGGAAAAGCTCAGACCGAAACGTTAACTCTGATTTCTCTCCGCAGATTCTGAAGAGACAAATCTGCGGAGAGAAATCAGAGTTAACTTTCTGGTCGAGTGACCTGCTGAACTTTTCCAGCAATTTCTGTTTTTGTTTCTGATTTACAGCATCCGCAGTTCTTTAGGTTTTCATTTTTTGACGATGCTTCATAATTGTTGTCAGAAGTCACATGACATCAGAGAGATAATGACAACTTATCAAGGTGATGGTGTCAAAACAGAACAGTAAGAAAAATTTTACAGAGAACAGTGAGTGGTGAGATTACGTGTAGCCCACATGAAGCCAAGATCATGGTTGAGGCACTCCAATGAGTACGGAACTTGGCTATCAGTTTCTGCTCAGCGGTTCTGCATTGTTGTGTATCTCAAAGGCAGCCCTGGAGGACGCTTACCCGAAGATCAGAGGCAGAATGAGCTTGACTGCTGAAGTGCTCCCCGACATCTGTTATAGCGTCTGCACGGTCTCGCCAATATACCATGCCCAGGGCATCCTTTCCTGCAGGTAATGAGGTACACAACATTGGCCAAGTTATATGAGTACTTACAGTGTACATGGTGGGTGGTGTTCCCACATGTGACTGTCGTATCCATGTCAATGATCTGACATGTCTTGTGGTGGTCGCAGTGGCAGGGTTGTGCGATGTTGTAGTCACTTCTTCTGAGGGCTGGGTAGTTTGCTGCGAATGTTGGTCTGTTTGAGGATAGGCGGCTGTTTGAAGGTGAGAAGTAGAGGCGTAGGGATGGCACAATAATGCAGAATCACCGAACAGAAACTGATAGCCTAGTTCTGTACCCAGGAAGACGACATCAATGACGGCCCCCTGTCATGCAACTCTTTTACCTATCGTTATTCCAGCCATTTGGTTTGTCTCTAGCACCATCCTATTTTTGATATTATTTTTGTAATTGTTAATCGGATCATAGGTCATCCCTTCACTTGCTGTTCAGCTGTTGATACTTTACTTACACCATTTGACAGTTGTGATCACCTGCAAAGATTTGTTATTCAGCTTGTCGGCACACCACTCACACTTATTGTATTTATCTTTTGATCACCTGGAATTATCTCACCATTATCTCTCTGCAAATAAAGTCTGTGCCGGTGCGCTTCCTTCCACTTCAACTGATGAAGAAGCAGCTCTCCGAAAGCTTGTGGTTTCAAATAAACCTGTTGGACTATAACCTGGTGTCATGTAACTTTTGACTTTGTCTACCTCCAGTCCAACACCAGCACCTCCACATCATTTATAAACATGAACTGCACTTCAAAAGTAGCTCATTCTTGTTATGTGAAGTGTGGTATACTGGAAAGCATGGAGGGGGTTTAAATAAAATAGTCTATTGATAATACCTCTAGGCAATCTCCTTCCCATGTAAAGACCACATCTTTTTATTTTTCTGTATTTCTGATGGTAAACTGATACAGACAAAGGAATTGCTGCACTTTTTAAAAAGAAAGTGACTGAAATTCATTCTAAGTGCAATTTTGTTCAAGAAATTGGAGTCTGATTGATTGTCTCCATCCATGGTGCTGGCCTGTGTGCAAAGTGAGATTAGGCTGGAAACAAGTTGCTGATTGGTTTGTGGGGTTGTGACCAATTGTGGATGGCCAGGGCCATCACCCTTACAGAAACTGGTTCCTGGGTAACCAAACAGCTTGTTGGTATGAATGATATTGGCAGAAGCCTTTGGACTGTTACATATGGTATGTCTTTCTATCAATAAAATACCAGAAACCTGAAGAAAGCCAGTTTATCTTCCCATATTGTAACTGTAACATGTGGTCTTAACTAGTATGTAAGAGGTTTTGCAAACTAATGGACCAATCACCTGTGCCTCCTGCTAAAATAAAGTGAAGAGAATTTACAGAAGAGAGGTTGAAAAGCAGAAAATCCTAACAAGTGAAAGGATCATCACAACTATTCCTGTTGTCCCTGTGGACTCAGGCCATTGAACTGCTTCCCCAGTTTTTTTTTCGTCCTCTTAAAGTGTGTGTGTGTGTGTGTGTGTAACTCTAGTTATAGTAATAAATACTAGTTCTTGTTAAGTACAGAAACGTCGGTGGTTTGTGTGCCTGGGAAACCCAACTGGTAAGTTGTCAAACTACACAAAATCTCCCAAAATTTTAACTTTTGAGACAATTTCAGTCTGCTCTTCTAGTGAGGTATGACATGAAGACTCTCCAAAGCTTTGTTGTTTGTTTTTAAGTAAAGAAGATAGCGTCTACTCGTTTGGAAATTGAAGCTGTTGTAAACATGCTCCAGAATGTAACTGACTTATGTAATTTTTTTTTTTACATTTGTGATTACAAATCCCCTTTGCGACAATGATGAATGGCTTGATTTCTACTCTCCTGTATTGTGTAGCTGGTTCAGCAGAATTCCATGGTGCTAGCAATAGCTATTGCAGGATAATTGTGTGATATCATTCTTTCAGGAATGTGGTAAGAAAAGGCATTTATAATCTTTGTTTGTTTTTAGTATTGGCTGCATCCTGATACAGAAGTGTGTTCCAGCATGCGTTTAGAATTGTTAAACAAATCCTGCAGTAGCATTTCATATATCATTCTTAACTGCTTTTTTTCATTTGCTTTTAATTGTCAGTAATTAAACTTTTAACATAACTCTCATTTTTTGAAATGTATGCTTCTTCTTGCAGCCAGCAGAAAAATATTACCTTTCCATAACTTGGACACCGGTAGACATTGGAGGGGTACGAGAAACTGTGACATTCAATGTTGGCTGTGTGAAAGTTCTTTGCATTCTTCTGGGAAAGGCAGAGGATGCACCCAAAAAAAAGGTTGGAGAGTTTGTTTCTGTTTCCTAATTAACAATGTTTGTGTGTATTTATATTATAGACAAAAATACTTCGGTCAGCCTTTCATATTCACCCTACTTTAGGGATAAAAATAATCTTGCAGTTTTCTGTGTAACATCATATTTCTGATTCTCTAACCATTCTACAAAACTGTTATGATCACTTTTTGGATCCATAAGCTACATAAAGGCCTCACTTTCATTACCTTTACTACAACACAAACAAAATAAATATGAATTGATTGTAATTTACCATTTTAACAAAGTAAATAAATCAGTCATTACAAACCATAAATTGCATATGTATTAGCAGATACAATAAGCATTGATCTTATAAATTTGTGCCTGGATTTTGACAGTAAAGAATACTTCAGTTGCCATTTGATTCTCTTTGACCCTTTTTTTGTGTTTTTCCCCATATAGCACAGCCAAGTCATCTATCTTTTCTTAGTTTCCAATTACTTTGCTTCCTCTCAACCCATCAAGTTTTCTTTGCCTATCTGCCTACCTGCACCCCTGCTGTATCAGCCTTAAATCCTTTGAATAAAACTGCAGCTATGATCACTGCTTCTCTTCCCCTTTATCAAGGATTAACTGAGCCAGCTACCTCAACTTTCCAGCAAGGAGTAGGTCACACTGCCTCTGCTTTTGGTGAATATTGCACAAGGTGGAGATGAAAGGGAATTTCTTCTCAGGGCTGTTAGCCTTTGAAATCATCTTTCCAAAAGAGCAGTGGAGACTGGACCAATAACTATATCGAAGTTTAAGTTAGACAGATTTTTGATCTACAAGGGTTTTGAGGGCTATATAGAACAAGTAGGAAAATGGAGTTAAGACACAGTCAGATCAGCCATGATCTTATCGTAAGGCAGATCAGACTCAGGGGTCCAAATAGTCTCTTCCTAATTCTTACACCCACTTGGCTTAATCCAACCAGGTTCCTTCATTGTCCTATTGATCATGACTATTGTTGTCCTTTTGTACCCTGTTAACTAATCAAGTATATGTTTAATATTATACCATTTTAAAAACACAGAAGCAAAGATTCATTAGCTGAGAGGTGTGTTAGGTGGTAATCAGCAGGAGGTTTTCTTACCAATGTTTGACCTGAAGCTGTGAAACTTGATTGGATCTTCAGTCAATGTTGAGAACCCCAATTCCTCAGGACCTGATTGCATACAAATGTATTGTGTTGGGTCTGTCCTGTTATGGCAGAAGGCAGCCAGCATGGAGTAAAAAGAACTTTGGGCTTTGGCTCAGCAGTGTGGATTCTGTATGTATGACTGAGTTCTGCTCAACAAGTCTGCTGGGGCAACAGCAATGTGATTCACTCTTAACTGCATTCTGGAATAACTATCAAGTACTGCATAAACCGCTATGAAAAACAAAAGGACAAAGTGGACCAACTACCCTGCATTGGTCTATGGAACAGAGTCAAGAAGGACATGCTCTGCCCGGTCAACCATGCAAAATCCTAACATCTGCCAAATTACCCTTGCCCAGCTGACTTGTGACAGAGACTTGCCACCAGACATTTGCCTTTCTCATCACCTTGTCCATCGTGTCATGGCTAAGGCTATCTCTGATGACTTTCTTAAGATCTGTATTTCTCTACCCTTTTTCACACTGCTCTCGGAGCAAATAAGCCTCCCCTATAATTCTTCAACTCTAGCCTTTGGCTGTGTAATTTCCCCTATTGCAACAGCTGTTGATCTTTGCAGTCGTACTCACATCGACCTTTGGCATCCATAAATCTTTACCTTTTTGACCACTAATCCTGACATTCCCTGATGTGGTTTGAAATCAAATTTTGAGTAAAACTTCAGGAAATATGTTGAGATATTTTACTCCATTGAAGGTACTGCAATAAATATCAATATAGGAGATGGCTATGATTTTAAATGAATGCAGTATATGTCTACAAGGATTCTAAACTTGAATATTAACAACTTTCCTATTTGGGGGAGAAAAGATTGATAACAATTTTGGTTTCTTTTGGTGCTTCAATGGATGTGGTAAATTTGACCTGTTGATTTTATGCACCAACATAGCTGTTGGTAAATCTTTTTTTAAAAAATTCAAAGTTAATCTAGTTTGCTATCCTAGAAGTTGAATTATGTAATGGTAATGGAGCAGTTGACTAATAATAACAATTTTTCAGTTAATCTACAACAGACACAGGCATAACAAGGAATGCAACACTTGTGGTGTTTTGGGAACTGGGCAAAGTTCACCTTTTCCTTCCAAGCGTGCTATATTTACCACACTGTGTTGCAAATTGCTCACTTGCTGTGTCCCAAAAGGTACTAGATCACTTTAAAAGTACTAATTAGGAAAAATTCAGTCTTCATCAGATCTGCTAAAATTGTTGTCATGTAAAACTTTAGAAACAATCACTATTTCCTGAGGGGAAAAAAGGTGCCTTACAAACTAATGGGAATAAGAACTGACTAGATCCCTGCACTTGTCACCTAATGGCTTGCATCCTTGGGCCTTGAAAGAAATGGCTGCACAGATTGTGGATGGATTAATTACGGTATGCTAAAGATTTCTAGAGTACGGATAGGAACCAGTGAAAATTTGTAGATCTAATGTTTTTTGCTGAGAAAGGAGGCTGACAGCAGGATAGTATGGGCCAGGTTCCCTTGCACTTATTCTTGAGAAAATCAAGATAAAACCAAATTGACTTTGCACGATAGTGAAGTCATGCTAGACCAAAGTAACAATTTCTTGAGGATGTAACTGGTAGAGTGGATAAACAAGAACTATTAGATTAAGTATATTAGGATTTCCAAAAAAGTTCGATAAAGTTCCACATTAGAAGTTATTGCACATGATAAGAGCTTCTGGTAGCAATATATTACATGAATAGAGAACTGGCTAGCTGACAAGAAATAGTCAGGATAAATAGATCACCTTCAAGTTGGCAAATTGTAACTCGTTCTATGCAGCAGTCATTAATGTTGGAATATCAACTATTTAGAATTTTTACAGTGCAATATCGCTAAATTTGGTAATGTGATGACAGGTGGGAAAGCCAATTGGCAGGAGGACAACATCTGCAGAAGGATACTGTTGCTCAATCATTGAGCAAATTGTGGCAGGTAGCTTATGTTGAAAGTTGAGGATATTCACTTTCATTGGAAGAAAAGTCAAAAATTATCCAAGCTTAAAGAGATTGCAGGATGCTGTAGAAACAGGGGTCTGGATCTCCTTATGCACACACACTTTGAAGTTAGTAGTGAGCACAGCACGTAATTAGGATTTTATTGCAGATGAGATAGAGATTAAAAGTAGGGAAATCCGACTCCACCTGTACAAGCCATTGGTAGACTGTAGGTAGAGTATATACAGTTTTGATCTTCTTAATGAAGAAGGTATATACTGAAATTGGAAGCTGTTCAGAAAAGGTTCACGAGTTTGATTCCTGGGATGAAACCTTTGACTCGTGAGGAACGATCAAGAATGTTAAGCTCTCATTCATTCTGGAGTTGAGAATGAAAGATCGTTCTATTTATTGAAGTATATAAGATTCTAAGAGGGCCTGACAGGTTAGATGTTGAAAGGATATTTCCTCTGGTGTGGAAACCTGGAATCAATGTAAGACAATGTTCATTTTAGAGGGTGAGTTTCTTCTGAGTGTTGTAAATATTTGGAATTCTCTACCCTAGAGAACCATGGAGACTTGAGTCAGCACATACCGTTAAGGTTGAGATGGATAGACTTTTGACTTGTAGATCCAGGTTTGTGTAAGATATACATGAAAGTGGAGTTGAGCTCATTGTCCATCAAAAGCTGGGTGGGACAGCAACCTATGCCATACATTTGCTTCTGATGTGCTTGCTCACAAATTTAAAAATTATCATTATATGAGAACTCTTAAAAGCACTTTTTTATGTTTGGATGCAGTTAGAACTTAGGTTTTCCTTTTGTTTATGATTTCCTGTTTTTAAAAAGTCGGGAAACTTCTGATTTATTTGATTTGAGAATTTATTACAAGTATCTTGTGCAAAATAGTTTGAAAATTCAATCTAAACACTTACTTTACTTCCATAGCGAAGCCTGTGGGAATCAATAAAAAGAAAGGAAGGTTCTGGTCTTTTCAAACCAAAAAGAAGTGCATCGATTGCCAGCAAAACCATCATCATATCACAAAAGGTGGATATTATGAAAACAGGGAAACCTCGCAGTCCTCTTCAATCATGTGAAAATCTGAGTCCAGTTGGAGATAGAGTTCCTCCTCTTCATCACCCTTCAGCATTTCATGGTCATGAGATACTGCAATTATCTCCTATATTACCACCAGGTCAAGTAAAGGAAGAATTTGAAAATTGTACACCGCCTTCGCTTAAACGTTCTACTACTTATTCTGTCCTTCAAAGTAATGGAATAATAATGCAAAATGAGACGAGGCTGGATGATGACAAAAAGCCTAATGAATTGTGTACAGTTGAGACTTTTGTGGAACCTGGAGTGAACTTGATATGCCAACCAGGGAAAGAATTTGCTATCCAGACACCATCAAATTTGCCTTGTATTTCTGCTCCTCATACTCCTATTAATGGGCGTCGGATCTTAAGCCCTGATTCTTTCGTAAATGACAGTTATGTTCCTGAGGGAGACCCTGAAGTAATTGCTGAGTTGGTGCTATCACCAGATCAGTTTTTGAAGGATGCATTAGAAACTATGAATCAGTCTTTACCAAGTGTAAGTCAAGTACAGGCTGTTGAAACAACCTCAAACAAAATTGCATTGCAGTCGGGAAATTCTTCAAAACAGAAGAGAAGTAATGAGAGGTTGGGCTTAGTGGGGACACATGGATCATCCAGGCCAGAGAAGGGTTCTCCCCCTGCTATAAATATGGAAGAACTGGGACCACTTAAGTCAAGGTTAACTTTTTTTGTGTCGTCAAAAACGTCTAATGGCCATCAGAGTGCACAGCCACCTAAACAGCACTCACATCACTCTGCTGCTCAAACCAAATTACTCCCTGTCTACACCACTACAACAACCAAAAGTAACTCTGTAAGACCTCCTGAATTTGAGAGAAAGGTTAAGCTATCAAGGAAGAAAGTTATTGAAGTCAACACTAATTCCAGTTCACATTTTGTTGGTATTGTACATACTGATGCTGAAAACAGAAATCCAAGTCTCGCTAACCAACAATCCTTTTCTGGCAGAAAAAGAAAAAGTTCTGAGTTCTTGTCAGATGCACATGAAAAGGACATTATTACTAACAAAAGAAAGTCTGTACAAGTGGAAAAACTAAGTAGAAAATCAAATCATAAAAAATATCATTCAATTGGAGGAAGACCACTCCAGAAGAGGATATCTGGTGCGTTCAATTTTATGTAGAGAATGTGGTGGATTTGTAGAGAGCATATTTCATTTGTTTACCTCATGTACTATTGTAAGGTAATGATATTTGAAAGCAAGGAAGCTGCTGATCAGTGCTTCATTCAGATTTTTTAATTTTGTGTGTTGCATTATATTCCAAAAGTCTAACACTGACGGGAAGACTTGAGAACAGCATGAGACTTCGGTGTTTGAGTCATATTGAACATTTCAAATTGCTTTCTTATTTTTACTTTTGTGCCCAGAAACAGTTTATTTGCTACGGATATGTTGAATATAAAAGAAGCATGCATCTGCACTGTAGATTTATTAGAAATTGAACTTTATGGTGGAGTTGAAAAGATCAGAGAGAGCAGAAGTCTTGAATATGTGGCATTAAAATTGAGCAGTTTACATTCCTGTGTTTGCCAAAAGCAAAGCATAAAAATGGCAGAGAAATTACTGTTAGAAGATTGTTTCTAGTTGTTCTTTTTGACTGGCCAGATGGTTATACGTGTACATCCTGCAGAATCCCTAATCATAACACCTTCCGAAGGAATTGCCTGGGAAATTAAATTTTCTACTGAAATGAATCCTGCACTCGTGGGGCTTCCTGAAGTTTACATTTAAGTAAAATAGTTATTCAGGAGAATTTAGAGCATTAAACACAAAGTCTAATTCCTGAATAACTCTTCAGCTGAGCCCATACCTATCACGCTCCCCAACTACACCTCCCTCCACACCCTGACGACCACCCCCACCCTATATTCTCCATCCACCTTCACCTGCCCTAAATATGGTATAAGTTATTGGCATGCAACCCACTGCATCCCACCCTCTGCATGGTACCTGTACTCATCAGATATCCTGGCATCTTTATCCCTTTCACAGCGAGCACGCTACACAAATGTTGTCCTACCCACCTGCTAGCTTACTTACCTAAAACCCTATTCACTCTGCCCTCTCAGCACCCTAACATCACACTTGGCTTATGTATTACAGTTTGACAGCAACTATTCAAATAGTTGTCAGGATTTTTGACTTTCAGAGTACTGCCTCTGACTGCTGTGAAAAGAGGTGTGGTTTGTCTTCCTCTGACTCCTCTGCCCTACAGAAGAACTATCATGATGGAAGTACAGTTACGTGTTTCCACCAGAGGCCTGAGTTCCCTTCTTTGATGTGTTTTGTTTTTCGAAAGGGCTGGTGTAGCAATCTAAATAAGATTGCCACTCCTTGGAAAATCTGGCCCAAAGGTTCAGCAGTTACTGAACAGTTCTGCTCTCACATAGTAGGAGGTTATTCAGTTGCTTGAGGTCTAATTTTTATCAAACAGATCATGCCATAGCTAAGCTTTTGCTTACTCAGATAAGAACCTGAGTTATGTCATAGGCATGGACCCCAGGTCCAATTAAAGAATATGTTCTTGGCAGCTTATCTTGCCAATAAGGCAAATGAAACAAGTGGTGCTGCACAGTTTCTTCATTTTGTTTCAGAAATCTGTGTACTTTGTGTATAAGTGGTATCCATTTTCAATAGAAAAGAAGTTCAACTTTGTCCATCTATTATTGATGTAAATTGCCTGACATACAAATAGCTAATAACTCCAAATCAAGCTCATTACTGTACATAAACATTGCTGCTTAATCAATTACTAAACAAATTTATGTTATGCAAATATGTGGCTTTTTTTTTGTTTTGGCAGTTTTTAAAGATGCTTGCTTTAAGGATTAGCTATTGTAGCTTGTAGTAAATTCATGGAGTAAAATGTATAGTTTTGTTGAACTCCACAGTTTCTCATGTTCAGGCCTCTGTTACTGCTCAAGTAAAGCCTGGAAAGCTTATGCCTGGAGTTGCTCAGTCGCAATTTGCTTTTAGGAAATTAATCAAAACAGGTAGGTGAATGTACAGTATTTGTAGACTTGCTAATTTTTTTGTAAACTGAACAAAAAATGTTATTACTTTTTTAAAGATGATCTGTCTAACTGTTTATGCGAAGTAACTTCGCAATGCCTTGAGGTTCCATTTGCTATTTTGTTGTATTTTTACTTTGTTCAAGTCATTTTAATACACTTTTTATAATTACGGTTACATATACTTGTAATACAGCTGACAGTAATGCCATTTTTGGTGACACATTTGCAAAGGTCATTGTTTACATTTGGGCAAAGAATTGTACTGTGAAATTTGAACTATTCTAAATTGGTACTCTACAGCTCGAGTGCAAAATAAAGGACTGGATTTACTGTACCAAGGGATACTAGGAACTATATCCGGTTCCATGTGCCCCAGTGAAAACCTTTCCATTTGGTGAATAACCGTCTGTTTAGAAGGTACCAAACCTATTCTTGAAGATGTTGCCTTGACAGACCTGGGACTAAGTTATATAGCTGGCTTTGAATGACCACTGGACTTGGGGTTAGTGACGTGGTGTACAAAAAGCGTGCTCAAGAAGGTTTCTGCTGGTATGTGCCAGAATCTGGTATTTTCCCAACATATCAGTTAGCTCATGATTATCTGTAAAAAGGTGAGAAACAAGCTGTGTCAACAATCAATAGGTGAAAAATTCAGTTTTAAAATGCCATTGTTAGATATTCTATGACTATTGCATTTAGCCATTCTGATAAGTCTTAACTGCTCATGTTTTTATCTTAATACATGTCTTGGGCTTTTTGTTCAAAATTTGTGTCAGGCAACTTGAAGAATTTATACATTTCAGTTTGCTGTAGGCCATTTAGTTGAATTTCTTATTAATGCATTTTATGATTCCTGCTAAAATGCAATATTGTTATTGTTACCCAGTCAGAGGTATGTATTTGTGATTGTGTAATCTTGGTTGCATTCTCTCGTTTGTTATGAGTGCCCTTTGATTTTGAATCAAATGTTATTAATTAAGTAAACTGATTGGTTGGTGCATTAGTTCTAGTAGAAAATGCTGCTGGAATTATGAACAACTTCATCACCAACATCTACTACCATTGGCACTCTCTGTTTTGTTTTCTTGTATTACCAACCAAAGCACAAGAATGTTGAAGCAAAATATATGCTGCGCATAATAATTTTGAGATTATTTTGTCGATGAATACTCTGTCTAAATGTACTAATCAGAAATGCTATTATTCACATTTCTTATTTGCAGTTATTCCTAGACATCCAAACCCATTTTCTACAGGAAACATGTATTATGATGAACAATGGAAAGAGAAGCAGGAAAGAGGTTTCACCTGGTGGCTGAATTTCATTCTTACTCCTGATGACTTTACAGTGAATACAGAGTCCTCCAGAGGTGAGCTCTCATGAGCAGCGTACAATGTGCTGCTTTGTGTTTACTCTTTTCTATAGTTTGTGTTGTGTTCATCCCAAGTGTTACATTTGCCATTGTTTCTCACCTTTTCAAGTGTGTATTTAAGAATTTTTATGTTGGCAGTAGTTTCTTGTCAATCCTGGTGCTGGATGAACAGTTTCGAATTTTATATGAATTTTTAAATATGCCTAATCAATCAAAGAAATCCTTTTCTGGTTCTTAATCAGGAAAACAGTTATCAAAAATGTTAAGCCCTGTTGTTATGGTATTTGTTTTTGTTTATTTTAGTAAATACTGCTACGCTGTTTATGGGTTCTGAGACACAGCACCACAAAATTAGTGTCCCTGCAGCACCAACCAATGAAGAAATGTCACTGAAAGCATACACTGCAAAATGTAGACTTAATCGTCTTCGCCGTGCAGCCTGCAGACTATTTGCATCTGAAGGGATGGTTAAAGTTATACATAAGTTGGAAGCAGCCATTGAAGCTAAACATCTGGTTGTGCGGAAAGACCGATATCTCTGGAAAGACGTTGGTAAATTTTCAAACATATAATTCTTCTGTTTTTATTGTGCTAATTTTGAAGCTCGTGCAAGCTTTGCAAACTTGGAGGTGGGGTTTCACAGTCATGAGGGAATTTTGAAACTTCTTGTTTGAATGAAACTCTGACAAACAAATCGATATGATAAAATTTTAATAAAATTTAATAAAAACTGAACCATAATATGTGGTGTTGCTATTCGCTAAATTTTAGCTCAGTCTGATTTTCTTAGGCAACAAATTGTCTTTTTGCCCCTCTCCACATCGTAGCAGAGAAGTATGAAATGCATTTTTCAACCACAGTTTTGAGACAACAGCAATGCTTGTGGGTTCTCAACCTTGTGTATGTATGAACAAAATTTGGGAATTTCTGGAATGTTGCTTTGTGCTTTGTGACCTTGGCCTAGGCCATTAAGAAGTTTTGGAAATCTTGGCAGCTCAAAATTTCCTGAATATTACATAGAATTAGTAGTATGAAGGGGGATATTTTCCCCTAAGCTGGTTATTAAGGTACAACATAGTAACAGACCATTTGGCCTAACAGTTCTATGCTTCACACAAACCTCCTATCACCCCACTTTTTTGTATGGTTGAAAGGGAAGAGAAGCAGAGAATATGGAAGCATACCTAAAAGAGATGAAAAAAATCATCAATCATGTCACACTTGAATGTTCTGAAGTCACGTACAAACTTTCTCCAATAATCAAATATGCAATCCTCTAGGAAAGGTGCTGAGCACTGAGATGCAATTGATAGAGAACAGAATGAGGCCTTTTGGTCTGCGGCAGCACTCAATGGTAGCAATTTACCTCGTGCCACTCTCCCACCTTTTTGTAGTCCTACTGGTTCTTCCTTTTCAAATAACAATCCAATTCTCGAATATCTCAACTGAACGTGCCTCTGCAGCATCTCAAGGGAAAGACAGGTAAACAAATCCAGATGTCTCTGGACGATGGAGGAGATAACAATAAAGGTAAAGAAGGAAAAGTGTCAAGTAAAAATACAATAGAGTTCCAAGCTGAAAACAACAGGTTCAGAGGGATGTGGAAAAGCAAATGAGAGAAGGAATGAGGGATTATGAAAACGTTCTGGTAACCAACATAAAGAGAAATCTCAAAGTCTTCTATTGGCACATTAATAATAAAGCAGTGGCAAAAGTAGGAGTAGGGTTGATTAGGGACTCAAAGAAAGGATTTAAACCTGGAGACAGAAAGCATGGCAAAAGTATTAAATTAACACCTTGCATCTGTCTTTACCTGTGAGGCAGCTGCTGCCCAGACCAAGGTGATAGAGGAGACAGCACAGTCACTCAAAGGGTTTTAAATTGGTGAGATGTACTGGATAAGCTGTCAGTACTTGAAGTTGCTAAGGCACCAGGACAGGATGAGGTGAATCCAAGGATATTTAAGAAAGTGAAAAATTGCGGAGGCACTGACAACGATCTTGCAATCTTCCTTAGTCTCAGAACTGGTGTCGGAGGACTGGAAAAGCGGAAACATTATTCCCTTAATCAAAATAGGTTGTAAGGATAAGTCCAGTGGTTATAGTCAAGTTTAACTTTGGTGAAATTTCTAGAAACGGTTATTTGGGAAAATGTTAATAATCACATGGAAAAAATGGATTAATTTTCAAGAACATGAATTGGTTGTTTTGAGAAATTTTTCCAACTTGCTGGAGTTCTTGTTGAGGAAGCAACAGAGGATTGAGAGCAATGCTGTTGATGTGCTGCAAGTGGACTTCCAAAACGCATGCCAAGTTAGAGCGTGTGGAATAAAGGGACAGTAGCAATGTGGGTATAGAATTGGCTGAGTGACAAGCAGTGAAGAGTAATGGTTAGTAGATGCTTCTCAGACAGGGGGAAAGTTTGTAATGTCAGTGTAGCCAGTGTTGGGACCCTGACACATGTTTTAACGTACACATTAGTGTACTGTTTTGGGCAAATCACCACAAGTTACCTTTAATTTGGTTATTTATTAAGAAATCTCGTAGATAATCAAGTACTGAAACAAGATTTAAACCTTTTTCATTTAGCAACCAAAATAAGACCTCTCAAGTAAGCAGGTTAAGCCTCACAACTCAACTTGGCTATTAACCGATTAATGGTGGAATTTAATTACAATTCCAACCAATGGTGTCTGTCTCTAGAAATGTCCAGGCTTAATCCTTGTGCAGTGTTATTCTTCAAAGTTCTGCTGCTCAATTCTTCTAGTGTTAGATTCTTTTATACAGATTTTCGTCCTTTCATCCAAAATATTGATTACTCTTTGAGTCCTTCAGACTGTAGCTTGTTTCCTTATGAGAAGTAATTTCTCTGCTCCTTGTTTGGCCTGAACTGTGCACATTTGAAGACACAAGTTTCCCATCTTAACTCCTTAAATTCTTTTCCAGAGCAATTAGTTATCCTTTTGGCATAAAGCAACCAGTTCTCAAACAGATTGGTTTCCGTAGCTTCAATTCCTCCTCTTCTCAGACTTGACTAATTGTTTTCAAGTTCTGTATAAGTTTATCATTGTCTTTAATAGTTTTTTCCAGACGCAGTTACTGCTGCTTCTTTCCATGTATAACAGTTTATCTTTGATTGTTTTTTTCAATCCATGCACAGTTATTAAAGTTCTCAAATTCACTGTATCACAACACAAATCGCAATTTCAAAATTTGCAGCTGAAGCAAAATTAGGCAGCATTGTGAATTGAGGACGATGGTGCAGAGCTTCATAAGGACATAGGTTGATTGAGTATGTGGACAAGTGACAGAACAAATACAATGCGGAGTAGTGTGGAGTGATACTTCTGGTTGGAAGAATGCGGAGAGACAATATGAAATAAGGGATACAATTCTGAAGTGGATGCAAGAGCAATGGAACTTATGTTGAGGATGTTCATAAATTATTGAAGAACAGGTTGTCAGCATAGCTAATAAAGCTGGCAGCATCCTTATCAAAAACTCCAGCAATATAGTTAATTCCATTTTATTGCTGTATAAGTCAGTGCTGGCTTTCCTTAATAAACCTGGATTACCCAATTAATGAACAATTTTGTCCAAATGCTAGAAGCTTCCCCTCTACCAAGATTAAACTGACTGGTCAGTAGCTGCTGGGCTTACCTTTTAAGGTCATTCTTTGGATGTCATTAAGGATATCAGAAACACTTCTTCTTAATCTCTACTATTTTTGTCATCCAGGAGTTCTGCCTTTCCACTTTTTTTAATATATTCATTGACAGGATGTGGATTCATTGCCCAAAGGGCAGATGAGAGGCAACCACATAGCTATGTGTTGGAGTCATGCGTAGTCCGGTTGACAGCTTACTTCCCTAAAGGACATTAGTGAACCAGATGGGTTTTCCCTGACAATCTTCAGTAGTTTCATGGGCATGATTACACTTTTGATTCCAGATTTTTCTTTTTATTGAATTCAAATTCCACCATCTGCCATTGTGGGACTTGAACCCAGGTCTTCAGAACATTATCTGCATCTCTGGATTAATAGTGGTGATAATATCACTAGGCCATTGTCTCCTCATGGGACTAGACATGGTCTGTTGCCGATCTGTCTCTTCCCTGAAGATAATCTATTTTGCAGGTACCATTTTACCTGCCAGTCTTTTAGTTCCCATTGATTTGGGCTAGGTTTATTCTCACTCAACTGAAATTGGCTTTCCATTAATTATTTTTTCTTATTCTTGGTTGCTGTTTTTCCTTAGCTGAACTGACTTTGAGGTGATGATCACTGTCCCCTAAATCTTCCTCTGCTTACATTTGAGAGTCTTGGGTTTGTCTTTCAGAAATGAGGTGCGCTAAGTAGCCTGAGCAAACTGTTTGCAACAGTCCTTGGTATATGGAATTGGCCCTCACCAAAATTGATATAAAGAGTTGTTACATTTCTATTAATTTGATCTAGGTATAATAATGCTGGATTTGATGGTAAGATAAATAAAATCTGAAGATAGTATCTGTTTAAGTTCAAGGCATGCCTTTTTACATTCTCAATTCTATAACATACCTATGAGACACAGCTCTAATTACTTGCATTGAGTGGACAGCAAAATGAAAGTGAGAATGATTTATCATCACTGTTCAAGCAGAGTTTTTATTGGAAGGAATGTAATTGTATACAAAAGTTCAATATGTCCTTAAAGCAATATCATATTTAGTGGTATAGCTGCATGAAAGTTGCTTCCCTTCATTTGTGGAATGTGGAACCTAAATTTGAATTTTAGAGATTTTAGAAATTTTCTTCAGTAGGTACATGCTATTATATTTACCTTTTTATATTTTCTTCTCCACTGAAGGAGAGCGACAGAAGATCCTAAAGTGGCTTTTGTCATATAATCCTCTATGGTTGCGTATAGGGCTGGAGGTAAGGCTTACTTTGCACAATTAGGAATACTGTAATATAAACAAATATGACAGTTTTTTTATGGAGAACATATTTTGGTGTATTGGCTGAAATCTTCATCTTGCGTCATGTTTCAGTGTGTATTTGGTGAACTGATTCCATTGGAAAGCAACAGCGATGTGATTGGCTTAGCTAGATTTATTTTAAATCGCCTACTTTGGAATTCTGATATAACTGCAGCATTTCGACATCCGACTGTGCCACATTTATATCGTGACGGTAAAAAATGTTTTGCTTCTAATATGAAAAGTGTTTCAAAATGTAAGTGTGACATGTAAGTTATAGGGCTCTCATTGACTTGAAGGACCTCCAGCAGTATTTTGAAAAAGATGAATTGGAACTCAACTTTCATCTAAGTTTCGACAAGTGCAAATTTTGTTTTCTGTGTGCAGATTTTGGTTATACTAATTCGATTAATATTGATTAAAATCATTAAATTTTACAGCACAAAATAAGACGACACTGTATCATGTCATCTCTAATAAAACTTACCAAGTTTCCCAAATTTTTACGAATGTATATTCACTTCTTTTCAAAAGCTATTGTGGATTCTGCTTCTGCTACTAATTTCATAATTGTTACAACTGAGGTAACTTGTTAGTCCACTTGAGACCATTATAATTTGACCGCGTGGACATGAGTTAGATGGCAGATTGGGTAGGTATGGCATTTTCCCTTCTCCTGGATGGCATTAGTGAACTAGTTGCTCTTCTGTACATTATCAGTTTTTAATTTTCAGAGTCCTAGCTCTCAAATGACCAGATTTATTAGATTCAATCTTGCATCTTGTAATTGTGGGATTTCAGCTTGCTATCTGTGTTACAGGTTGTATGATGTATAGTTTGCAATAATAGAGGAGCTTGTAGAACATGATGAGCTGCAACTCTCAAACTATACAAGAGCAGTGGGTGAACATATCCCCAAAAGTAGCCAAATCGGTCAGCCCATGACTCATTTTTCCTCGGCAATCAGAAAGAAAATTTACCCCCACGTTTGGAATTCAAATATTGAAAGGAACTACTGCTGCACTTGTTGGTTGATCTAATCCCCTATATTTGCTGATCAGCAGCAAGTGCAGGAGGGAATGGCCTGTGACTGGAGGAGAAATGAAAAAGTGAGTAGGTGAACAAGACCGTTGAGAATATAGGTGAGTTGATGGTTTGGTAGCCACGGCTGCAATGGCAAGGAGTCTCAGACAGTTTGCTAGGCAAGGCTAGTGAGGGGACGTAGCCACTTTGGGGCAAGGCCAAAGAATTATTTTGGCTCCTGATAAACTGAACATTTACCTCAAAGACAAATATCTCTGCAGTTTCTTTTATTGGTCAAGATTGTTTTAACTTAAATGAGACTGCAGTTTTAAGCAATCAAGGTGCCAATCTGCCCTTATGTCTTCTATGTGGTGCTGCTGTAATTTCCTTTTGCAAATCTTGCCATATGTGCAAAGTTTATTAATTGATTTGAGCATAAGCATGTTAACATGCCAGAAAAAAAATTGCTGTTTGTTGGGCAGTTACATGTTTAATTTTGAGGGTCAGCTTGAAACGATAAAATTACTAATAAATACAAAAAAGGAGAAAAGGTTTTATTTGGTGCCTTTCATGACTACCTGTTGTATTAAAGTGGTTTGCTTCAGGTAAAGTTAATTTGAAAGTCTGTTTGCTTTTCTAATGTAGGAACTGCACATAAGCCAAAATTGTGCATAGGAAACTCCCATACGTCAATTTGATAATGACCAGTTTTTGTGATATTGACAGAGAAATAAATGCTTGTCCAAGTACCAGCAAACGATATGGAAGGTAAACTGTATATTGGCTTTTATTGCAAGAAAATTTGAGTACAGGAGCAAAGATGTCTTCTATTCAATTGCATAGGACAATGTTGAGATTGCAACTGGACTATGATATACAGTTCGGGTCCCCTTGCCTAAAAAGAGGCATACTTACTATAAAGCAAATGCAATATGGTTTGCCAGATCTGATTCCTGGGAAGACTGAGCTTGTTTTCTCCAGAGTTCAGAAGGATGAGTGGTGATCTCGGAAATTTCTTAAAGGGGTAGACAGTAGATGCAAGAAGGATGTTTTCCTGATTGAAGTCAAGAACCAAGGGACACCAAGTCACAATGAAAGGCTAGCCATTTAGGATTGAGACATAGAGAAACTTCTCTGTTTAGAACTGTGAATCTTTGAAATTTTCTAGGTCAGAGAGTTGCAGAAGCTCTGTCATTAAGTACATTGAGGACATAATGGTATGTGTAGATAGCATGGAATTATAGTGTGAGGTTGATAATTAGCATATAGAACAAGGTACAGGGGATGTTTGACCTATTCCTACTCCAAAGTTCCTATATTTCACCCACTCTTCTTCAGAATGGTTCCATGGAATCTTTTACTTCTATTGAGCAAGCAGGTGGAGGTCTTGTGTTGACATTTCATCTAAGAGATAACACTTCTAATAGTCCAATGCTCTCAGCACTGCAACATTGTGGTAGACTAGATTTTCTGTTTGTCCTGGAGTGGGACATGATTTCTCAATATTTTGAGTTGGGTGTGAGTGCTACCAACTTAACCATGGCTGTGATCGATAACTATTAATAATATTCAAATACTATTCATCATTGATAACAACCTTAATTTGCTCGTTCAAATGCAAGGGATTGTAACTAATGTATGTTGTTTCCTTGCGTATTGATTAGATTTCCATCTTGGATTTGGAGTTGCAACTCAATTAGTAATGTAGAAATGCTGTTGGTACTGCATTGAGCCTTAACTAGAAATTAATGTAACAGCAAATTATATTGTAACTGTTTGTTTTGATTTTCTAGAGCACCAGGAGGTTTTGGCACAATTTACACTGAAGAAGTTTCTGCTTTTGGTTTGGTTTCTTGATTGTGCCAAACAGTCTAGGTTGATAGATCATGATCCATGCCTTTTCTGCAAAGATGCAGAGTTTAAGGTTAGATATGAAAAATACTGCTTCTCTACATGTACTCACTGAGTTTTTATCGTAAATGTTGAATATGCATAGGTTTTGTCTTAACACTTTCTGGATTTAAAAAAAAATGTATAACAAGTTTTATTTTAAGAACACTATGCTTTGCTTTATATGGTGAGATTAGGTCAGAAAATCATTCAGTTTTTTATGACATCCTGTGTGATACCAACTTGAATGTTCTTAAACACCAGCATTGCAGTTTCTCCCTCTTCTTCATCTCTAATAAAGGGGTTAATGAATTGCTGAGGTGGAGAGAATTTCAGATTTACCTGTTAAGCATTTGTACATAGAATTGCTCTACATGATTTAATTCCTTTTACTTATTGTACAACATAATTTTTAATTAAAAAAAGTCTTTTTAAATTTTAAGTTCTAATGTATTACTCAAAAGTCAATTGTTCTCTGTCCACTTAAAAATAGAAATTCATAACTTAATAGGTAACAATTGGTATTTATATAGCACCATTGAAACATCCCAAGGCGGTGCTCAGAGGCTTTATAAAACTACAATGCTGAACAGAAGGAGATGTATTGGAGTATTGCATATAGTTCTGGTCCCCACACTACCAGAAGGAAGTAGATGCTTTGGAATGGGTACAGAAAAGGTTTACCAGGATGTTGCCATGTATGGGGGATTTTAGCTCTGAAGAAAGGTTTGATGGACTGGGTTTGTTTCCACTGGAACACAGAGGTTGAGGCGTAGCCTGAAAGAAGTTTATAAGATTGTGAATGGCATGGATAGAGTGGAAAGTATGAGGCTTTTTCCCAGGTTGGAGGGGTCAATTACTAGGGGACACAGGTTCAAGGTGCAAGGGGGGAAAATTTAAAAGAGATGTGCAAGACAAGTTTTTCTCACAAAGGGTGGTGAGTGCCTGGAACATGTTGCCAGAGTAGATGGTGGAAACAGGCACAATAGTAGCAATCAAGAAACTCCTGAACGATTATACAAATAGGAAGGGAATAGAGGGATATGGATCCTGTAAGTGAAGACAGTTTTAGTATGAAAGGGCAAAATGTGTCGGCGCAGGCTTGGAGGGCCAAAGGGCCTGTTCTTGTGCTGTTTTGTTCTTTGAGGTATTAAGGCAAATTATCAAAAGCTTGTTCAAAGAGGCAGGCTTTGCAGTAGTAGAGAAGAGTGAGGCAGAAAGAAGGACATTCAGTGTCTTGCAGTGTGATTGGAATCCAAGACGTTAAGAGGTGAGAAATTATATTGGAGTGCAGATATTTCTGAGCATTGTAGATCTGAAACAAAAGGGGATAGTCAAGAAAGGATTTGAAAACAAGTGAGAATTTTAACTTACAGTATCAATTAACTTAGGGCATGTAGATCAGTGGATACAGGGGTTATGGTGAATGGAACTTATTGAGAATGAGGACATGAGTTGAGTAACATATTTTTGGATAAGATTGGCTGTTGCTGTTAGGTGGGATTTAAACTTGATTGGCAGGACAAGGAAACCTATGAGGGAACTCCAATGGGAAAGAAACAAAATAGAAAGCAGAAAAGCAGTAAGCAAAATTAAAGACAAATGGGAGTTAATACAGACATCACATAGGTTCAAAAAGAATAATGTTAAAAAGCCACTATAAAGTACAACTTAGATAACAAGGTGCAGAGCTGGATGAACACAGCAGGCCAAGCAGCATCAGAGGAGCAGGAAGGCTGACGTTTCGGGCCTAGACCCTTCTTCAGAAAATTTTCTGAAGA